TCATATATATATGTATGTATGTATGTATGTATGTATGTATGTATATATATATGTATGTATGTATATATATATATATATGTATGTATATATATATATATGTCACAAATTATGATGACCTAAGACAATCAATATCCCTTGAAATCCTGCAACAAAACCCAGAATTATCCTGGTATACTAATGAACAGAAATTGGGATGGATTTTAATTAATTTATACATAATATCTATTATTCTTTCTTTGATGTTTGACCATGTATATGCTGGTTCTGAATTGACTGAATCTGGTGTCTTGTAAACCCATGCATGCCAGGCGTAATTGCACAGATTATACAATTAAAAATAAATAATCTTATTTTATCTCAACTTCCGTATCTCATATTTATGCAGATACAATTTAGTATTTCTCCTTTCATCCAGCTATACCCGTCTTACCCATGTCTTATTTTTCCTTTAAAATTGACCATTGTGTAAGGCCTTTTTCAACTGATGTGGTGGGAATGCTTCAACCAAAGTCAGTCCATAAATATCACCAAAATGGAGAATTTCAGTCAATTTGCAGCTCTAAATTATGGGATTAGGTATTACTGGTATCTCTTCCAAAGCATACTGTATATATCCTGAGGTCAGACAACAGGTCAACATTGCATGTAGTATGTACTAAGACTGTGCGAAATGTGTTGCACCCCATTGTTGACCCTATCATTTTCTCATCAATTTTTCCATAACCTTATTTCCTTTAGGTCACAGTCAGTTCCTCGACCCACCCTCTTCTCTTGTTTTCTGGCCTTCACCATTCACACCCCCAACCAGGTCACAGTTCCTGTCTGGTTAGACATTGTGAATGGGAAATACAACATCAGCCTCTCCTCACTCTGAATTACAAATCCCCGGGTCAAAAAGTAAATGCACAAGATGAACAAGGCAGATAATGTCGAGATACTTAATGTTAACTTGAAAATAATCTATACTGGTTTTAACACTTTAGAAAATAGACTCCGTCTCTGCACTGACATTGACTGCTGCACTGAAGCTTACCTGCATGCCATGTCTGAATACATGTTTTCTAGTCAGTTTGGTTTTATTCATCCAAGCCTAAAGGTTTGGTTAATCCAAACCAAAGAATATTTACAGCTTCAGTTTAATTTGAGAGGTTTTACTGGTGCTACAGGCCTCATAGGCCTCGACTAAGTCATTAGCAATTCAAAATGCGTGAACATGATGTCCTGTACTTTCTTCAGGGCTGGTCACATCATACTGATGCAAAATAAGAATGATGCATGTTACAGTTACATACTGTGTCTCACACATTGTGAAGCACTGAAGCAAATCTCAAAATTTGCTGTTGACAATCAATTACCCACTAGCCATAAC